CCCGTTCATGGATGGCTGCACATTCAGCAGCCGCTGGGCGAGGGCCTCGCTTTAACACAGGCCCTGGGCATCAGCATGGGAGTCACATCAGCCAAAGACTGCTTTCCCCAGGACAGTCGGGGAGAGGGAGATCGGTGCCTGGGCTGCTGCGGCTGAAATCCGTGGTGCAGCGCAGGTCACTTCTGGGTCCCTCACCAGAGGACCAAGAGAGTGGTGGGCTCTTCTGTCTGTCCCATAGGTCACCCTCGTGGCAGAGAAGTCTCTCGAGGACCTGCAGCTCCCTGTCCCGGGGAGCTGACAGTGCCCAAGACGCCCGGGGCCAGTACCTCACTGGGGAACTGAATCTTCCCACACCAGCCCCTGTGTAAACAGGAAGACGTATTTTAATTAAACTTGCATATAGAAGTTTGTATGTATTCAAATTTTATATCACCTTATTTACGTTTTTGCCTGCTTCTATTCTGAGATCTGGTTTTTGGTCCCCTCCCCACCTTTTTTTGAGACGCGTCCTCTTTATGTAATTCAGGCTGTGGGTCTTGAACTCACTATGTGGCCCAGGCTGGCCTCAGACTTGCTGGGATCCTCCTGTCTCAGCCTCCCCAGTGCTGGCATAAGCTACCACCCCTGGCTTTGGTCTTGTTCTTTTCTTTTCTTTTTGGTACTGGGGATCAAACTCACGACCTCACGCTTGTCAGGCAAGGGTTTACACCACTGAGCTAAATTTCCACTTGTTCTTATTTTCTATAGTTTCAAAGACATTTTTTCTATTTCTTTTTTTCTTCCTCCTCTTCTTTTTTCCTTTTACTTCTCCTTCTCCTTTTTTCTTCTCTTCTTCCTCTTCTTTTTTTCTCTCTTCCTCTTCTCCTGTTTTCTCTTTTCCCCCTCTACTAGAGGTGGAACCCAGGAAGCCCAGTGCCACTTATTTATTTATTCATTTTGGATTTTTTGAGACAGGGTTTCACTATGGAAATCTGGCTGGCCTTGAACTCATTATGGAGCTCCGATTGGCCTTGAACTTGTGACACTACCTCAGCCTACCCAGTGCTGGGACGATAAATGTACACCACCATGCCTGGCACAGACCTTTCACATTTTTATTTCAAGACAAAATCTCACTAAATTGCCTCCTGGCCTTGTACATGAGATCCTCCTGCCTCAGCCTACTGAGTAGCTGGGAGTACAGACTTGTGCCACCATGTCTAGCTCTGTTTCCATTGTTATGATAGTTACAGTAGTAATTTTAACTTCTTATATGCTTATAAAATCTTAAAATCAATGTCTTTTTTCCCTGGACTATGCAACAGCCATAAACACGTTAACTTCATTAATCAGCCTTTCGTTTATATAGGGTTGTTTTCTCTGGTTTTGAGCGGGGTGGTGGTGGTGGTGTTGGTGTTAGTGTTGAGACAGGGTCTTGCTGTTAGTTCAGGCTGGCCTCAAACTCACAGCAATCCTCCTGCCTCACCTTCCCTAGTGCTGGGATTACAGACATGCACCATCATGCCCAATTTATATGCTCTTGTTATATATCTTAACTTTACCTATTTTTTTAACTTCTAGAAGATATTATAATTTTATGTACTCACAGAATAACATGAGCCATCTTAATTTCTAAATATATGTGGACTTCAAAGATATCTTTTCTGTTAATTTACAGCATAGATTGTATTATAGTCTGCAGACCTACTCTGTGCAATTTTAATATTTTAAAATTTGTTCAAGCCAGGTGTGGTGGTACATGCCTGTAATCCCAGGCCTTGGGAGTTCCAGACCAACTGACGCTACACAGTGAATTCAAAGCCAGTCTGAACTACAGAGAGAAGCCCTGCCTCAAAAAAAATTTTTGTTGTTGTTCAGACTTGCTTAGTGTTCCAGGATATGTTTGAACTTTTAAAATATTCTGTGAGTGCTGCATAAGGACATGGATTCTGCAGGGCGTGGGTGCTGTGTTCTAAGGCTGTCTATTGCGTCAAGCTTGTTAACTGTTGTATCTTTGCTGAGAGATACAGGTCAGAATGTCCACTACATTTGTGGGTTTGTCTGTTTGTCTTTGTCATTCTGCCTTTGTTCCCCATCCCCTTAATACTATAAAAAATAGTTTCTCAGTACATGCAAAGTTAGACTTGTTATGTCTTCCTGGTAAACAGAGTTCTAACCATTATGAAATGACTCCCTACTTAGAAATTGTTGGCTTTAGAGCTTACCATCTTCTATAGTTAATCTAGCTGCGTCAGCTTTCTGTTGTTTGGTATTTGCTGTGGTTTGAATATTCGTCCTGTCTAAAACTCATGGTGAAGCCAGGCATGGTGGCATGCACCTGTCATCCCAGCAGTCTGGGAGGCTGAGACAGGAGGAATGTAAGTTTGAGCCCATCTTAAGAAACTGAAGAGACGTAGGCACTGTCTCAACAATAAAAATATTAAAAAAGGGCTGGCTCTGTAGCCAGTGTGAAAGCTTTGGGTTCAGTCTCCTGTGCTGCAAAACACAAACAGCAAATCTCGTGGTGCAGGTTAATCACAGTCATCCTGATGTTGAGAATGTGATCTTGGAGCAGTGTTCGGGTCACCAGGGTATTAACCTAAGAGCAGGTTAATCCTCTTTCTCTCCCCCTCCTCCCTCCGCCCTCTGCCTTCTCCTAAGCAGGGCCCTGGCGGCTCTTAGCACCTTCACCTTGAACCTCCGGGTTCTGACACCTTCTGTTCACTAGAAATCCCCCAGCCTCAAGCGTGCTACCGTAGCAGCACAAAGCGGAGCAAGACAGCATCTGATAATATGCTTTTTCTACCTTTCCATTTTCTATTTATTTGTATATTTATGCCTTAGATGTATTTCTTGTAGATAGCATGTGGTTGGATTTTTATGATCTAATCTGACAATCTGTGACTTTTGACTGATACATTGATTTTTTAAACCTCACAAGGTATTATTATTTTATATCCATTCAGTGTTCATTTAGAGCTTCTCCATAGGCTCATGTTCAGTCTGCTGGAATAAAAGTGTTTAGAATGGGCTGGGGATTTAGCTCAGCGGCATAAGTGCCTGCCTGGCAAGCGCACAGTCGTGAGTTCGATCCCTGGTGCCAAAAAAAAAAAAAAAAGTAGTTAGAATATCTTTAGTGTATTTAGATCTGCTGGTGGCAACCTCTCTCTCTCCCTCTCTCTCTCTCTCTCCCCCTGTGCTGCTGGGCCTGGAAGCGTGACCTCACACAGGCCAGGCAAGCACTCTGTCCTGAAGTACACCCCACCGTCAGGTTTCAATGCTCTTCTGAAAATGTCACTGTGTGGTTGGTTTGCCCTTAATGTCTAATATGCTCAGAGAAAACAAATGCCCAACCTGAATTCTACACCTGGCAAAACTACCCTTAAAGAACAAAGGAAAAACAGACATGCGCTCATTCCACTGAGTTCTCATCTGGAAGCTGCTTTTCTTTAGCGATCCCCAAAATTTGGGTGGGGCGCACCAATGTTTAAGCTTCGTGGTCTTTTTCCTCCATCGCATCTCGAGTTTTAATGAGCTCTTCTAAGTTCTGTTTCTGTCCAGCTGCTTCTCACTTCCTGCCCTTCCACCTTAGCTCAGACCTCCGTCATCGCTCAGCCAGACGGTAGCAGGGGCCTCCTAATTGGTCTCTTTGCTTCCTCTCCTATCACCACATTCTATTTTGGACACAACATCCTTTTATAATGCAAAGGAAATATTATTTCTCCACTCAAACCCTCCGAAGCCTTCAGGTCACATGGAGAATGCAACGCCAGCTCCTCGCTGCCTCTTCCTGTGAACTCCAAGCCGGGCTCTGCGTGTGCCGGCGGCCCGGCTTCCACCTGCTCTCCCTTTGGCCCACAGTGTTTCCCTGAAGTGGCGCTGGCCCCTTCCCGGCCCCATTCCCTCCTCTGCTCAGATACTGGCTCGCCAGCAAGGCCTTCCCTGACCTCGCTTTCCAGCATAGCAGTCCTTCTGCTCTGTGTCCCCTTCCCTGCCTGACTGTCCTTCACAGTAATGTCAGCATGTGACATCATTCACAGACGCTAGGTGGTGAGTGCTGTGAGAACAAGAACTCCAGCTTAACTTTATCTTTTCCTAGCGTCTAGAACAGCCCCTGGCACAGAGAAGCTTCTTGGTAAATACTGTTGAATACAAGACTGCGCACTGGATCTATTTTACCACGAGAACAGGCACCAAGACACTGTAATACAGCCAGAGCCCCTCACTGGCTTGTTACTGCAAAGCTGGATTTAATTCCCCCGGCCATGTTAACACTGCACTTGTGTGATGACAAATTCTCCGACTCTCGGCGGGGAGGGGGAGCTCCCTGGTTACTTCAGGGTGTTCCCAGAGAGGATAACAGGACTGATGCATGAGAGTCACTGTGTAAGGGCACCTGAGAGCCGCTTGTTAAATATTCAGGAATGCTGTGCGCGGCTCCTTATGCGTGGACTTGAAATTGGCCCCAGTGGGAATATTTACACTGCAGAAATCTGCAAATGCTACAAATTAGGGTGGATTTTAAATTAAAAAAAAAAAATAGAGCCAGTTTACCAGTACAAGGGAAGGTCCCAAAAGTAGTTAGTAAATTGCAGTCCCTGGGTGGCCTGGCACTGCCCTTGGAGACCCAGCTCCCGCTGTTACCCTGGGAAGGGCACCGTCCCTGCCAAGGCTGCTGTGTAGCCTTTCAGTGAGTCAAAGGTGCGGCTCAGGGCTGCGGAGCCAGCAGATACAGAAATGGAATGCAGCTTCTCTGCTCCCTGTCCGGCTCTGGGAGCTCTTAGGAACGTCTTAAGAGACACGGTCTTGCTATGATGCTCAATCTGGCTCTGAACTCCTGGGCCCAAGTGATCCTCCTGCCTCAGCCTCCTGAGTCATTTTTTCCCCTTAAGCATCCACCTTCAGAGGGATGGTGCCTAGGGCCAGCTTGGGGACTCTGTCCCTCTGTGACAACTTCTGTTGGTTACAGTTTCCATATCTATTCCCTCTTTTTTCTTTCTATGGCTGTGATATCTGAGCAGCAGAACAACAAGGAGACAGAGAAACACTGAAGACAAAATAAAATCCATTCCACAGCTGGGTGTGGCTGTACACACTTGCGATCCATCACTCTGGGAGGCCGAGGCAGAGGCCTACAAGTTTGAGCCCAGCCTGGGCTACAAAGTGAGCTCAAGGCCAGCCTGAACTGCACAGCGAGACCCTGTCTCAAAATGCCAAAAAAAAAAGGACTCCCCTAAATCAGGTAAGTAAAAATACACATTTTCTATACAAGTATGACATCAAAGCTAGAGTCCTTGGCTCCCCCAAACCCTTTGAAGCTGCCATGAGTTCCATGTCGTCCCTTTTCCCCTGTGCTGACCTCCAAGCAGAAACTAGCAGAAGGGGTTTCTCCTGCATAGGTCAAGCCTTGGTGCCCACATGCTTGGGGCCTGACCTGTACCGGTATCCTGGACAACGCTATTGGTTTAACTCTGCATCTGTGGAACTGGCTCAATACTCCCAGCTCACAGGGCTGATTGCTTGAGGGGTAAATGAGAAAATGCTCAGTGGGTATTAACTCTGTGCTACACCTGTGTTTCCTTAGGACAAACTCATAGAAGAGCAATTCCTGGGGTATAGTCTCTTTGGTTTAGAACTTGGATGAATACTGGAAACTGCCCTCTACTTCCCACCCACACTGGGGAGTAACCACAGGGCCTTTGCACTGAGTTATATCGTTGTCCCTTTTTCTATTGAGACAAGTTGTCTCTAAACTGCTTAAAGTTTTCAGATTGGCCTCAAATTTGTACTCCTTCCTCAGCCTCCCGGAGTGCTGGAATTACAAGCATGTGCCCACACACTCAGCTTCCAAAAGGATTTATACCAATGCAGGTGTGTCCCATTTTCCTAGAACTTCATTCTTCCTGTGCATTGTCATTATCTTTTAGGCAAAATATAGTATCTCATTTTTTCCCCATTAATATAAGAGTTGAGTGTATCTTTAGTTATTAACCAAGTTGATGACTCCTGTTTGTTGGTGATTTGAATTTCTTTTGCAGATTTCTTTTCACACAATGACAGTTCTCTGTAAGGTAGAGGGAGGGTGAGAGAGATGGAGGAGCTGAAACGATTTGGGAGACGCCCTAGCAGTGGGATAAGGAGAGGATGGGTGTGAAAGAAGCGCAGGAGGCAGAATAGATGACCACGCGGGCTTAGATGTAGACAGAGAAGGAGAGAGCGCTTATGACTGGCGTCCAGGCTCTGGTCTGACCCGCGACTGGACAGTGGTGGCATTTCTGAGATGCGGACGACAGGACAGAAGGTGGCGTTTTTCTGCCTGAGGCGTCCTGTGGGCTGTCAAGTCTAACACAGAGGTGTCCGCAGGCCTGCTGGGTCGGCGAGCCGTGCAGAGCGCCCGAGTGCCGCTGCTGCAGGTGGACTGAGGAAGGTGACTCGAGGACAGACGGGACCGGGGAGAAGCAGTCATCAAGCTGGGGGATTTCATGAGGGAGAAAGCGGCGAACCAACGACGTGAAAGACGCTGGATAAAAATGAGTCTAAGAATTTTGAACAATTTCAAATTCATTTATTTTTTATTTTTATTTCAATCAAAAAAGAACGAGCAGCCGAACACTTTCAAAAACAGGCTAGAGAGTAACAATAATCAACACCTGGGGTATTGTTATATTCACAGTAGTTGTTCACAGTACAAGACGCAGGCATGAAACTCTGATCATTATTTATTGACCAATCTAGAAAATTACTAGTACAAAACTTTCCCCTCAGAGAACCAGAGAAACCAGCTGTATAACTGTCTTAACTGTCTCGTTTTCATATATATTTTTTCCTTTCCCTCCTTTCCTCTCCCCTTTCTCCAGTCACAGTTTTACTATTCTTTTGAATAGTTTCTTCCCTGTTCATAATATCTGCTGCACATTTTGAATCTTGTTTACTCGTTTAGATTTGCACACTAGGGAGACAACACAATGTTTATACATGTAGGTCTGGTTTATTTCACTTAAGAGTATGGTCTCGAATTGCATTCATTTTCCTGTAAAAGTATCAGGTTTATCTTTTATGGCTGAGTAGTATTCCCTTAGATTAAGAAAATCCACATCTCGTTTGATCAGTTTCTCAGCTGATGGGCATTTGGGTTGTTTCCAGGATTTAGCTATTACAAATTGTGCTGCTATAAACATGGGTGCATGTATATTCCTCTGATGTGATGTTTTTAATTCTTGTGGGAAGATACCCAGAAGGGCTCAGATTTATTTTGTGAGATAAATTCTAACGTAACTTTTCCTTAAATGATTAGGAAGTTGTCCCAATACACTATCTATTGACCAAGCTTTCATTTTCTTCTCTTTTTTTCTCTTTCTATTTTTGTGGTGCTGGGCATGGAACCTGCAGCCTCACACCTGCTAGGCAAGCACTCTGTCACTGAGCCACATTGCCAGCCCCATCTAGCAATTTCTTACTATTCAGAAACCTATCATTGTTGTATGGCAAACGGTTTTGTAGAATTTGGTCTAATCTTTCTATTTCTATGAATCACTCATCTTATGTATTTGTCAGACTTTTAAATTTCCCTGTGTTTTATGATGCTTTGACATTTGAGGTTTTACTAATCCTGGAGACAATGCTCTCCCAGGGTTGGCTAATTCCTTAGTGACATTGGCCAATCCAAAAGCTTCCCCCTAAACCACACCCTTTCTCCACCTCTCACTCTCTGACCTCTAAGCCAGCCCAGGGCCAGCTATTGGGCCATTCAGGGATGCTCCATATCTCAGGGCCATTGAGGTTATTCAGTCCTGTACTTGTTCAGCTACTAACCCAGCCTCGCCCATTCCTTCCTGGAAAACCATGGTGTCCTTGGCACACCATACTTGAGGCTTTTATAGGTAAACAGAGGCAACTTGAGACCATACTCATTAAGTGAAATAAATCAAGCTCACTTGTGTAAATATTGTATTGTCTCCCTAGTGTAAAAAAAACTAGAAGAGTAATAAGATCCAAAATGTACAATAGATATTGTGATAATAAAAGGGAAAGAAAACACTTTTCCTAAAAAAGGAAAGAAAGAAGGAAGAAAAAGATGGATTGGGTATTTAGTTCAACGGCATAAGCACCCACCTTGCAAGCTCACGGTTGTGAGTTTGATCTCGGTACCTATTTTAAAAAAAAGGAAAAGGTTATATGTATACACAAATCCATTATGTGATAGCCATGCCACTAATCTCTGTTAGTTCATCCAAAACAAGAGTTAGTGCTTTGATTGATCATTTTTGGTGCCTGAATCTTGTAACTTGAACTTCTTCTAAGATAACATGCAGTATATTAATTAGTGTTAATTTCCTACTATTTTTAAATTCTGTATTGTTTCTATCTTCTTTTATGCTTTGTTTTAAAATAAAAAAAGAGTCGTGGAATCCTTGATTGTTCATACGCTAACGGATCTATTTCTAGAGCTTAATTTGAAACATGATGCTTAAAGTTGGCTTGAGACATTTAAAAAATAACCATAAGAATGTCTTACTTCTATCTTATTAATATTTTTAAAAGTTGCTATGAATATTATATTCATCAAATATATGTTCATTATCTTTTAATGTATATCTTTTCCCACTTATTAGTGAGATGGATTACATTAAATGATTTTCTAATATTGACCTATCTTTTTCCTCCTGTAATGAGTACCATCTGGTCATGGTATATATTCCTTTTAGATCATTAACATAGTCTTTTCCTAGAATAAATTATATTAATCAATTTATTACTCTGGAACTATTCTAACATTTCTATAATCAATACCACTTGATCATGGTATATTTCTCTTCTAATGCCCTGTTACATTCTCCTTGCTAAAAGGATACGAGTTCAGTCTATAAACTCAGTTATATAAAAATAACATATTTCTCATTCTGACATTTTTATTTAGGAATTTTGCATCAATATGAGCAAGAACGGTAGGCATATTCTTTTCCTTTTTGGCACTATCCTTGTTGAGTTTGAAGCACTGGATCTTTCCAAAAAACACAAGGACTATTTCCTTGTTTCTCTATGTGCTGGCATAGTCATTCCTGTTACATAGGATGCATTGCTCCCTTTGCTACCTGAGGAGACAGAGATTCATACCTGGCACCACTAAGCCTGATACATTTCTGGCAGGCACAATTTGTTACAGAGAGGCAATATGCCATGGGGTTGTCCTAGTCTGCTTGTACTGCTTTAACAAAATACCTGAGCCTGGATAACTTGTAAACCACAGCTTTTTTTTTTTTTTTTCACATTTCTGGAGATGAGAAGTCTGAGAGTCATCACCAGACACGGTGTCTGGTGAGGACACTTTATTCCTCCTGTCTTCTCACAGGAGTATTCCTACAAAAGGAAAAAGCCAGAAAGGGGTAGCTGGTTCCCTGAGGCCATTTTATAAGATACTACAGTTAGGCGCTGATTTATGAATATTCATGTTGTTCACTTTCACAGATACAGATCTCACATTATAAACAATTGCAGCCAAACAAATCTCCGAAGTAAGCTTGTGTGTCTACTGTTTTAGGATAACCATAAATGTAAAAATAGTTTCTTTACAGTTGTCCTGTACTGTATCACCATTCTAAGACAACTGTAAAAGCAAAAATAGTTTGTTTACAGTATTTGTGTGTATGTTTGGTTGTTTGATGCTTTACACTGTGTATTTGTGTCAAAGATGTCTGAGATTCACTTTGTTGAACTTACGAATGAATCCAACTTAATGAACATTTTCCTGGAAGAGGACTCGTTTGGAAGGTGCAGACTCACTGAATTCACCTCCCCAAAGGTCTCACCTCTCCACAACACCACTTTGAGGTTTCAGTTCTGCATTTGGGTTCTGGAAGAACACATACATTCAAGCCATAGCGGTAGTTAAAGAGTTTGGGCTTGATTGACAGAGTAAGCATTCAGGTGACCTGAGAGGTGAAGCAGGAGAATCCCTTTGTAGTTCTCATGAGGTTTAACAAGATTGTGGGAAGATGCCTGACATGTAGCAAACAGAGCAAAGAAATAGGCGTGGAAGAATGCACCAAAACCAAACCCAGAGGGCAGTTTGGTGAAGCAGGAGTCAGGCCAAGGGAGAAGGGCAGCCAAGAGATGCCTCTGGGCTGAAGAGAGCCTCCAAAACTGTCTCTGCCCACAGCAGCACCCCTTTTCCCATGCCCCTTCCAGATTTTACACCCCTTGGCTGAACAGAGATGTAGGGATCCTCGATTGTCAGCTTTTTTTCGGAGGCCCCAGACTCTCCTAGACCAGGACCCTACGTGCTTCACCCTGGTCTGAAATTATATTACAAGACTCTTCTACAATCAAAGTAAAGGTGATTCACATGAATACCAGTAATCCCAGTTACTCGGAGGCTGAGGCAGGAGGATGGCAAGTTCCAGGCCAGCCTGAGCAACTTGGTGAGACCATCTCAAAATTAAAATAATTTAAAAGACTAGGAGCTGTAGTTCAGTGGTAGACCACCCCTAGGTTTGATTCCCCAGTATTGGAGGAAAAAAAGGAGTTCTCATTTTTACTAGAATGTCCTAAATAACGTGAAATGGATTCATGATGGTTAATTTCATGGGTCAACTTGATTGGTTTAAGGGATTTCCAGATAGTTAGGAAAGCACTGTTTCTGAGGATATTTCTGGAGGAAACTGGCATTTGAATCAATGGACCAAGTAAGATAGAGTTGTTCTTACCCAAGGTGGTGGGTATCTGTTCAATGACTGAGAATCAGGATCTAGCAATCAGCCAATGGAAAGACTAATTCACTTTCTCTCCTAGGACTGGGATGCTTATCTCCTCCTGCCCTGAGACACCAGAAAGTCCAAGTTCATCAGCCTTTGGACTCCGGGATTTGCGCCAGTAGTCCAGTTTCACAGGCCTTTGGCCTGGGGCTGAGAGTTACACCGCCAGCTCTCCTGATTTTCTGGCCTTCGAATTTGAATTAAACTGGACCAACAGCTTCCCTGGTTCTCAAGCCTGCAAATAGTATATCATGGGGCTTCTCAGTCTCCACAATTCTGTGAGCCAGTTTCTCTAATTATCCATCTATCTATCATCATCATCGCTCATCTTTCTATCTACCTGTCAGTATATTTATGTTTTGCTTTGCTGAGAACCCCGACTGCTCAAGATTCAGTGAAGAATGCCCATTCCGGACGACGTTGCCTCTTCTCCTTCAGTCTGCCTCCCTCGCACCTCTCTGTGACCTTAACACTCAGCCCTTTACCCTGGGTTCCGCCCTGCAGGGTGACCCTTTCCCCGCAGCCGCCACCCCTGCCAGTTCCCTCTGCACAGGACGCCCACTCCTGGAGCTGGCCCTGCAGCACCTTCCTGGCAGGTACTTTGTTCTGGTCTCAGATGCTTCTCTCTCAGCTGCTCCTAGAAATGGTGGATGCTGTTCTTCAGTGCCCTTGAGGGTGATTTTTGTCTGCAGAGATAACTATTAAGAAGGTTTATTTTGGGTTTTAAAAATGGAGTCACTTATTAAAATTACAAATTCAAAACCCTTGGTCCTTCCTTAGGCTTTTATGTTCAGCTTACAAATCTTATTACTCTATTTATAAGCCTAATAAATGTTAACAATAATTTTTAAGGAGACCTTGAATAATGCTTGGTCCCATTTACAAACTCAGCGAATTAAACACCTTCAGCATTGTGCAACTACAATGATAAATTTAAACATGCTTGATTTCTTATTTTTAAAGTATTTCTCACTTAAACAAAGTCTTCCTAAGTACAAAATAGTTCTTATCAATCTAGAAAATTAAACTAATAAATATAGCAAGCCTACAACTCACACGTTCCAATTTTGTGCCTGACTTTAGGAAGGCTTCAACTTGAAATCATACATCTTAATCAATTACTCCATTACACACTTAAATTGAGAGCTGCAAGGTTGCCATCCTAATGGGCCAAATACTCTCAACCATTACAAATATATAAAATGTCATATAGGAGTAGATTGCTTCTCATCACAAAGTTATTAGTATTATGGCTTGGATCGTCTTAGACTGTTCTGTACTTAATTTTAAGTAACAATAGTGAATGCTTGTTTAGCATTTTTCATGTGCCGGATCCTGGTTAAGTGCTTTTCACCTGTCACATTGTAGCTCTTTCATTTCTCCTGATCCTTGTGTACAGACTTAAAGGGTCGGCAGGCAGCCTGGCAACACTCCGCAGGCCGCAGACTCCTTGCTCCCTTGCGTGCTGTCAAGAGTGACAGCTTCCGGTTCCTCTTCCTTCTCATTGTCAGCGGGAGCGGCTTCCCTCTGATCTCCTGGTCACTCGCTGTCATCTTACAGAATGAGCACAACAGCTATTCACCAGATGTTCCTTGCCAGCTAATTTTCACACACACCCCCCCCCCCCGGTTGCAAAATCCAGGAGCGGCGTTGCTATTGCTTCCTAGTCTTTCCTTCTCCATGTCTTCTCAGTTTCCTCCGAGGAGCCCTCCAGGGCCAGCACTCCACAAAAATCACCTTCCTTCATCTTCCCTGACCCGCAGCCCCACCACGGCCATCACTTCTCTTGCTGAAGGCGCTGGTTCCAGGATGCGGCTCCTCCTCGGAGGATTTCCTCCTGCCTGGCTGGTGGCATCACATCCGCCGTGTCCTGTGTGCCTCCTGCTCTGCTGTCTGCATGTTGGGAGTCCCGGCCTTTGTCCCTGCTGCTCTTCTCTTCCCTAAGGATTCTCATTCTCTTGCAGTGCCATCCAACCATTGGATCTTCAGTCTATTTATTTATAGGTCTGTGAGCTCCAAATTTACCTCAGCAGCCCCAGAACTCTCAACTCTGTACTCCAGTATCTAACCGTTTCCCAAACCTCTCTACGTGGGCATCTCAAAATAAACACAGCCAACGCTGTATCGCTGGGCTTTCCCTCAAAGCTCACCTTACCTGAAACCTGCCTCTGTCCTCAGTTGGTGAGCATCCTCCTCATTGCTCAGGCTGAAAACTGTGGATTTCTCTCTTTCTCTCTCCCTCTACATGGCAGTCTTACTACTGCAATCCTTTTTTTTTTTTTTGAACCACAGTGTGCCTCACTTGGATTATTACAATAAACTCATAGCTGGTCTCCCAGCTTCTACTGTGCCTATTTTTATATTACTCTCAACATGACATCCAGAAGAACTTTTCAAAAATGAGAATCAGGGGCTGGCATAAGCACCTGCCTTGCGAGTGTGCGGTTGCAAGTTCAATCCCTGGTACCAATTTAAAAAAAAATGCAAAAATGAGAATCAGATTGCATCACTCTTTTGTTTAGAATCTGCAGTGATTCTTCATTTCATTCAGCGTAAAAGCCAAAGTTCTGCAGTGGTCTATCATGATGTGACTCTTTTTCCTAATTCTTTCGCTCCCACCTGGCTTAAACCACACTGGTTTTGTTTCTCCCACACTCCCAGGCAAGGGAGCTCCAACCACAGGGCTTTTGCACCAGCTGTTCCTTTGTTTGCAATGCTCCTTTCTCAGATACAATTGAATTCACTTGCTTATCTCCTCCAAGTATCTGCTCAGTTCTCATCATCTCTATGAAGTCACCTTTAACCATCCTAAAAACCTAGCAACCCACTCCCTTCCCCTCTTACTCTGCTCTACTCTTTTGTCTTTGGCACTTCTCTCCAGAAGTACATCTAATTTACTTGCTTAGAGTGTTTGCTATGTGTCTCCTCCATTCTCAAGGCTAGAATCTTTATCTCCCGATGATTACCAAATTCCTAGCATTCAGTAGATACCCAGTAAATACTTTCTGTATGAACAATCCCATGGAAGAAGTACAAATTTTATTTCTGTTTTACACATGAGGAAGCTGAGGCATAATGAAGATAAGACACGTATCCAAGATTATCCAGCCAATACATAGTAGAGTTGGAATCTATGTGCTCAACTGTAGAGCTGAGAATTTGTGTGCTGAACTCCTTAAAACTGTGTCTTTCACACGTAAAAACCGGTGACTCTGCAGCTTCTCTCTGAGGTCCCATCATAGACACTGACACCACGTTCAGTAATGGGCTGTTAGTAGGACAGTGGTTCCGAGTGGCTTAGCTGTGTAGTAGACGACACCATCTATGTTTACATACATCCACTCTGACGTTTGCATGACAAGGAAATCCCTGAATGACACAGCTCCCAGAGCTCTCCTGCCACACCATGCCCACATCTCTGTCTTCTCTACTCAGAGGAGGATGCACCTTCAAGTATGTGGGCCTGGATTTTGCGTATCTTTTCTCTCATACACTATATAAAAGTGACTTTCCTTTTTACAATAAGGACTTCAACTGAATAAGATCTTTCACTCTGTCACACCCTTATGGTGCTACACGCTGTGGACAGAACATAAATACCGCGAGGACTGTTATTCTTGGGTGTCCATTTGTTCCTTTCCGATCCCCCACTGCCTACAACAGAAGAGGAGGCACTTCACTAATATTTGCAAATGTTATATGGATGATATTTGAGATAGTAACCAGGCCAATTTTAGCTGTTCTATGTGAAGTTTTCTGCCTTGTTGCACTTTATTACTTAGCTTTCTGCTTTCTGTTGCTATGACAAAATATCTGAGATAATCAACTTATGAAGAGGAAAGAGTTGTTTTGCCTCATGATTTCAGACGTTTCAGTGCCTGATTTATTGGCTCCATGACTTCAGGGTCTGCACAAGACAAAATATCATGACAGGGAGCAGCTGGTGAAGTCACTCGCTTCTTGGAATCTGGAAAGCACAGAAAAGAAAGGGAGGAAAGGACTAGGTCCCTTCAGGGGCACCCACTTCCCTTGACCCTGGATGACCTTTCTCCAGCTAGGCCTCACTTCCTGAAGCTGCCACCACCTTCCAGTAGCACCATTAGCGGGGGGACCTCATCTTGGATGCATGAACTTTTGGGGGGCACTTAACATCTAAACCATAACAATACTGTCACAGGCACTATCTGTTCTTTCTATGAACACAGTGGAGTTCCTGCAGTGCCTGTGGCCGTCCGCAGGCTTATGGGTCATTGAGTAACTCCCCAGCTCCTTGGGTCTAAGTGGAGTCACCAGTCACTGTGCCCTGTCACCTCAGCCATGAAGAAGAGGAGTGTGACCAACCGAGGACAATCCCAAGAGCACATCTTTTGGATACAGCGATTGATTCATCGGCAATTCAAGCTGGGCAATCAGCCAATCATTTTTATTATTGTCATCATTATTATTATTGCTGCCATTTGTAACAGGCCAGGCCAGCACTTACTGTTGTGTTTCACCAAGGAATGAAGTATAGGCTGCCAGGGAGGTCGCCTCTGAGATTGCTACCTGAGATTCTGGTGATATGCAGATATCTCAGTGTTCATGCTGCTAGAACAAAATCTCTGAGACTGGATAATTAATAAAGGACAGAAATTTACTTCCCATGATTATGGAGGTCTAAAATCAAGGTGCCAGCAGATTTGGTATTTGGTAAGGGTGTAATCTCTGCTTTTTTTTTTTTTTTTTTTAATTTTAAAGAGGATAAAACCAAGGAAAATAAAATAAAACCTTCAAAACCTTATGACAGCAACAATAGTTACCATAATGCCTTTTGTTGTCTTTAAAATAGCTGCAGATTCCTTCGGACATAGTAAAAGTCAAACAGAACAGAATAGAATAGAAGCAATAAAAACAAAACAGTGAATGCAATAAAGGACTTCAAAACAAGCCAATAGTAAATCCAAAATAGCTCCCATAATATGTCTTGTTATCTTTTAAATAGCTGCTCATGCCTGCAGAGTCAACGTAAGCAAACAAAACAAAAGAGAATAAAACCCAACCCAACAAAGTAATGAAAGTGATACGGTTTCCAGGCAGGGATCGCTCCCTGGTGAGGCCTTGTTCTTTCCCTCATGGAGAGGGGCTGAGGTCAGGCTGTCCCCACTCCCGCAGTGGCCCGCACATGGTGCTGGTTTCCGGGTGGGGATCACCTCCTGGTGAGCCTGGTTTTCTCCCTCTGCAGTCCATGAGTGGCCCCGATTTCTGCTTTCAACATGGTGACTTATCATTATGTCCTCTAGTGGAGACAAATGCTATGCCTCACATGAGGAAAGGGACAGAAGGACAACAAAATCCTAGCGAGTTCCCTCTGACCCTTTAATAAGGATGCTGATCCTAGACCCCTCATGACTCCATCATCTCCTAAAGGCCCCGCCTCATCATCCTGCCACTGTGGGCCTCAGGTTCCAGAGGTTTGTCTTTTGGACACATACATTCAAACAACACAGGGACGGAGTGTGACACGAGAGAGGGGGCCAGGACACAAGGCAGAGAGACGGAGAAGAGATGAGAATCAGAGAGGGACCTGGGCCTTGTTTTACTAGACATTTAAACCTTTTCTTGGACTGGTTTCTTCAGCTTTTCTGTTTCTTCTTGCATGGATTTTGGTAATTTGTATTTTGATTATCAGAATTTCATGGACTTACATATTTGTTGCTATAATGCTATGTTTTAAATCCTCTAGTCACTCCTGTAATAATAACTCTAGTTCCTTTCTCATCCCTACATGTGTTTTCTCTTTTTTTTGCTTCTTCTTTTTATTTTATTTTTTTGTCTGTCCAGGAACTCAAACCCAGGGTCTTCCACATGCTAAGCAAATGCTCTAATATCATGCTACATCCCTAGCCCATCTTTGCGCTTCTAAAAAGTATGTTCAAAGAGTTTTAAAATTGATAACTAGTTTTAAAATTGATCTTCCTGCCTGCTTTTTAGTTCTTTCTTTGCTACCTCATCAATTTCTTATTTTGTCATTATTAATTTTATCCTACTTTCTTGTATCTCAGTTGCTAGATTCTCACTTTGGATATTTATTCATTTATTTTTAGTTTTGTTAATAACATACTTCAGTGTTATAAATTATCTTCTAAACACTGACAACTATGTCGTATAGGTCTTCTTATAATATCTTTTTGTTAATTAGATTTTTAAACTCTAGTTTGATTTCCTCTTTGATCTAAGTACTTCCCCACTCATTTTTCTGGCTAATTCTTGCTCGTTCAATTAGATTTCAGCTTAGAAGTCTTCCTGAGCCCCATTCTGCTTACAACTTCTTACTGTAAATTCCAATAGAATCAATATTTCCTAATACATAGAGATGACTATTTGTGTGATTGTCTGTTAACTTGTACTTTCTTATAGACTCATAAGCTCCCAGTGGAAAGGCTCATGTTACCTTTTTCATTGTTGTTTCCTTAGCAAATATGTGTCTGATGCACAGGTGGTATGTGATGTGTATTTATTGAATGCATGGCTGGAAAATAGTCATCGGAGAGAATGCCAATCATATGACTCTTAGAGAGAAATTGTAATTTTTAAAAAGAAACGATTATTTATACGTTTGTTCTTTGTCCTGCTAATCCCTCTTCTGGGATTGTAACCTAAAGATACACTAAAAAATAGCAAAATGATTTATGCACAAAGCTGTTCTTTGTGGTATCATTTGAAACAGCAAAATACTGGAAGGAATCTGAACATCCATTATTAGATTAACTGGAAATTGTGGTTCATTCACACACATTAACTGGGTTAGTACCAGATGTAAATGGAGACACAGGGGAACTATCCCAGGACATATTGTTAACGGAAAAACACGAAAACATGTAGAATTGAACACAGAACATGCCATCTTTGGTGTAACAATGGGGCACAACTATGTATACAGATTTATTTTTGCAAAAAGAAACACTGGAAGGATAAAAGGGCAAAAACCAACAAAAATGATTACTTCTAGGAGAAGAAACAGGGTAGAGGGACGGGGATAGAAATGAAATTCTGTAGATACCTACTTTTGTGTGGTTTTGACTTGGGAATCACATAAATATTTAACACATCCAAAAATAACATTACATCAAAAGGAAAGGAGGAAAAAGTAGTTGTTAAAATTTGAAAACAATCTGAAATGAAGGACTTTAAATGTATATCAAGTTCTAACATAACCACTCAGTGAAAATTATTCCAAGTGACTTTACCTCACAGCATATTGATCGCATATACTTAACGAAATACACTTTAAAGGACAAAAAGAACTTCAAAGAAGTCTTGAAACTTCATTTGAAAGTCTTATTGTTAGATAAAAAAAGACGTATTGACATTACTTTTGAAACTATGACATAAAATTTGCAGGGGAATGCAAATAAGTAATTGTGTTAATGTTAGAACCTAAGAATATCAGTAGGAGAAAAGAGACAGGAGGATAAGATCAAAGAGATTAAACAAAAACCCTGAAAAGGTATATTTGAATTAGCGACATCAACAGAAACCCATAATCCTTTTGTTTCTCCTGTATTTGCCTGGCCTGTCTCCAGCAAAGCCCCGATCAGCAGGCACAGCCGGGGAGCACAGCATGTCCTCCACGACCAGGACCAAGGGCTCCTTGGAGAAATGACTGATTCCAGGTCTGGGGCAGGAAATAGGCAACATGGGCCTGGAACATCCTGTTGGGCTAGAGAGAGAAAAGACAATTGTCAAAGAGTAATAGGATCACGTCTGAAGGACACAGGAGCTAACAGAAAGGGATGCCTGCTGGCTAAAGATGAAAGAAGAACGACTGGGTTTATCGGAATACACTGAATGTATAAACACTCATTAGTTCATATTGATAGAGACAGAGCAGAGAGAGGAAAAGAAAGCCCCAAATCAAACAAATACCATGAAATTCTATTGGAGGTAGCTAGGGGGCAATTCCTTGTCCTGAGAATTAGCAGTGAAAGGGCCTTTATCCTGTCATCTTTCTACTATTTCATCTCAGCCTAAAAGCCTCTGTTCACCAGGGAAAGTCCTTTATTTAAAAAAAAGCCCAGCTAACAAAGGTGGAAGGATTAATAGGACTAGAAAACCACCTTTTTATACCTTTCAATAAAATAATGGACTCAAGCAATAATCACCAATGGGTGAAAAGATTAAATGGTCGACGGGAAATTTCATAATGGAAGGACCTGGTTGTTACCACTGTGTGTTTTCCCTGCAGTGTTGGAAAGATTAGTCCTACTTAGAAAACATCTACCATAGTTTGGATTTCCCTAAAAAACCAGGCCCTAGGAAAAGGATTTGGGTACGTGTCCCAGGGTATTACCTCCTCAGCTCTTTTCGGGTGGCGGCGTGCAAAAGGTACCGGGATAGCACGCTTGCAGGTAGCCTCCAGGATGGGCCAAAGGGACATGGCAAAGCAGCACCAGAGCCTGCTATGGCACTTTTGCAGAAAGCCAAGGTCAGAATGACTTCTAGCTAACAGGAATACAACAAAAGGAGGAACAAGATAAATGACAGCACAAAGACGCAAGCAGACACATCCTGATTACGGGACATTATACAAAATATATGATCTCTCCAGTGGGGTGTTCTCTGAGCCAGTTAGCATGAACTGGTCAGTCCCACTGGGGCCTCTCTGAGGAATTCTCAGGAAAACTCCTCAGAATTGTTCCACATAAGGTCAGAAAGCAGAGGCATTTCTTCAGGACCATGGTCCCCAGGGCTAACCCTGGTCTCAGCTTTCAGGATTTTCAGGACTTGCCTATACAGGGGTGAATGACCTTTCCAGCTAAGAAGAAATTCCTGAGGCACAAAAGGGTAATTCCTGAGGGGGGCTACAGGGCACACTGGAAGTAGGGCTCAGGCAAAGAGTATGCAGCTGCCCTAAGTTAAGGGGGCCTGGGATGTGTGGAAGCCCCGAGTGTCCGCAGAGTGTCTCAGCAGATATTCACGTGGGCTTAAAACTAAATTTCTGCTCCAGATGCACCTCTTGCCCTCCAGGGACTTCAAACAGATACCTCTGAAATCAGCAGGCGCTGGAATTTCTGTATGGGCTGCAACGTATGTGTGGCCCACAGGGTGTGTGTGTGTGTGTGTGTGTGTGTGTGTGTGTGTGCATGTGCACACACTTGTGTAATATAAAAGTAAGACTGAGCAATAGGGTAAAGGACACTCCCTGCGGGAGGAACATTTCTAATACAGTGGTATCATCACTGTACACAGAGCCAATCAGAAGAGTGCTACTTTGGACCAATCAGAAAGTGGCTGTTTTCAGTTCTTAATTTGAATCTGGTGCTGTTCACAGGACCAATCAGAAGATGGTTCTATTCACATGTTGGTGCAATCAAAAGACATTAATTTTGATCGTTTATATGTAACAGGAAGTTTAATGAGTTTTTTGTAGCACAATGTGCATATGGTATAATGGCAAGTAACTGTTTGATAAGACAACTTTCTCCTCATTAATGTAAAAGGAGATAACCGGGAATTTTGGATATGAAACATTCCTTCCCCTTATCTTCAGGGCCACTGTGAGCCTTTTTACAGAGCCCCTCTTCAGTCTGTAGAGCACGTCTTCTCTGCTTTTCATAACTACACACTTTCCCTGCTTTTCTCTATGTCTTTTCCATATTTGGGACACTAGGAACTTGGAAAAAAAGCACTACAGGATACCCATCTGGTAGCATTTCTTGGCAAGCCAATTAAGAGGTCAGAAAGATCCCATATTTTGTCTGGTTGCTCTAAATTGTCTGGTTGCTCTCTTTTGGGCATGGGTCAGATTGTCAAAAGCTATTAGGGCATCTTTTGCTTGAAGACTCCAGTGACAGGATAACTCAGTCTTGTTAAGCATTATAGGATTCACCAGGATCAAGAAAACTTTCCATGCATCTGCTAGGTTTACGTTCCTATGTTTGTGCAATAAAAGAATAAAATGCCATCTTCACATAATCTTTTCCTACAGCCCGAATGTTTTATCCCGGTTGCTTCTGAGTTCTGGGGAGAGGGTCTCATGTATAATCTTTGTTTCCCTTCTGAGTCACATTCTTTCCTATCACTCAAAGTCTTCTCTTTCTGCCACTTTTGCCCACCAAATTGCTTTCCTATCCTCTTGGATGTCGGAGAAACTGGCGCTTTCAGACAAAGGCTGTGGCTTTCATCTCTGAGGCCCCACTAGGCCAATTTACAAGCTGGACACTGAATGAGAAAAATGGCTCTTGAACTGAATGCAGCCTGCACTGGGTGCTAATAGCTAACAAAGCTGGGGTCAGCGCCTCTCTGGGGATACCAAGGAGGGAACAATAGCCCCTGGCAACCTTCAAGGAGTTAACAAGAGCCCTTTGAGGCTCAGCCAATCGGTGAATTAACTTTGGGACTCCACTTGGAATTGGTGTTTTTGTCTACCTGACAAACACTTCTCTGCCTGCCTGGGACAGTTCTTACACCACGGTTACAGGGTTAACTGGCTCTTCTGCTGCTTTCTGCTCTGGCTAAGATAAGGATGCTCCTCAGGGTCAGCTGGAAGTCTGTTCCTCCCAGTCCTAAGTGAAATGTAAACATCTATAAATTAACCCTGAGACCAAAGGAAAAAAGTGTACTAGGGGCATTTTAGAATCTAAGTGGCGAAAGGCTTGTTACAAAAGTAAGTAGGACAGAAAAGAAAGTATGTATGTTTGGTTATTCTAAGATTTTTCTCTTGTTGGTTTGATTAGGCCTAAGATCTTTCCTTCTAAACCTCCTGTTTCTTACATGCAGCTAAAGGGCTCTCAAATCGTCAGTCCCAGCTCTCAGTGCCTTCTCTGGTCAGGCTCTCAGCAGTGGTCCTGTTTCATTGTCTCTGCTGCCTGGGATGCAAGGACAAGGGGCACTGCAGCCTTGTCCAGCACTGCTGCCGGCCCCTGGTGGTGGCCTAATATGTAGCCGTCCACTCACTTCCCTTTCTCCAATTTGCCTGGCAAGCCTGACTGCCCCAGGAAAACCTACAAGGACAACTTCTTCAAAATAGAAGCTGGCTTTATTGAGGCTTCTCAGCTGGGTAAATACTAATGTCCCTTTTTGTCATTGACAAAACAAAACAAAACAAAACAAAACAAAAACCTCTTTTTTCCCTATGTTAGGACCGGAAAATTGTGATGTTGGGTTATCCGTAGTTGGTTAGGGACATCCCACTAACACTAGGACCCCAGCCCCAGGCTCCTTGTCTGGAGAAATAGTGTGTGTTCCAAGGGGACTTTTAGGTTCAAAGGAAGTGCACTGGTGTCCACATAAGAGCAGAGATATCTAATGCCAAAGTCCCTAGGTATTCAGTTTTACCAGAGGACTCTTGAGAGCTCAAGAAATAATGCAGAGGATGCATCATTAATTTAATCACTTTAACCCTTGGTCCTTCTGCCCACAGACAAAAGTGCTGAAGTACTGTTTGAGGCCCAAGAAGGGCCTGAGTGGAGGCTATAGGTCCAGGCCATCTTAGGGTATGCATGAGGCATAGCTAAGCCTGTACACTTGACAAGACCAGAACTAATAGTCAGATGAAAACCCGAAGCTTTCCAACCTCAGCTTGAAGAGGCCCTCCACAAGTATACTACACTGGACCGTAGTCCAAACAGGACCAAATTATCCTGGGCCAAAATTTCACCAGCCAATCAACTCCAAACATTAGGAGGAAGCTCCTAAA